CAGCCACTGCCCTGGAGCAATGGCCTTTAGACTTTTTCTTTTTGCTTGTATGTTTCTAAAAGAATTTTGAAAAACTAGGTACCATTTCACATGGTTTATAAGTTGGCATCTAACATTTCTTATTGTAAGTTTAAGTAGTTACAAAACAAAATTTCTGGTTTATTATAATATTTATGTTTTAAAATAAATCTTTTATATCACTTTAAAATATATACAATGAACTTAAAAAACCCATATTCAATAAATCTAACTACATAAGCAGTCAAATTTTTTACATTTTCTCTTTAAATTGGTGTTTTCATCCCACTTCCTCCACAGAACTTTATTCCAATGCAATGTATGTATGCTTGGAAGTCATTTTTAAAATCAGTTTATCATTCTTCTCTACAAAATGTGTATGAAGATTGAAACTTTTTTTTCAGTGACTTTAAGGTTCTAAGTGTTAAAATTTCTTCAGAATTGCATTCGCATTATAATTATTAGTAGTACACAAATGACAAAACACATATTTTCATAAATAACTTTTATGTATAACTAATTATTTTGGAAATGCTTCTATTAATTATATGGGTAGACTCCCCCCCACCCCCATTTAGTTTATGTACTCATACATGAATACTGAATACTACTTATCTCTAGAATAAGACAGGCTTCAGCATTTAATTTCATTCATCATTTTTGCTTTACATATAACACTCACTGAAAACTTTTGACACAAATAAGTAAATAGAAATGGAAGGTGTTTTGTTATAGTAGTGTTACTCAAATCCTTTAATTCCTTCTGAATTATAAGCCAAAACACATATAGTAAGTTATCATCAAAATTTATTTTTAATAAATTTAAGCTGACAATATGATTAGGTCATCTTTCAAATTTTTTGAAAGCAAAGAATTGGAAACTACCTAACCTGCAAAAGAATTTGTAGTCTAGTCGTTAACAATCACTCTGTTTAACACCAACACTCTGAATTGCGGTTAGTTTAACGCCCTAGTTTTGTACACACCCCCAAAGCAAATTACTGAAGTAAGATAAATAAATTACTCAAGTAGAATTTCAGATGGTTGAAAGCTATTGCATTTTAACAAGTGGGAAAAGAGTGACTAGGAAAAGGGAGTTAGGAAAAGAGGCCAAAGGGCATTTTCAGGCAGACCCATTTTAGCAAAAAATACAAAAAGTACTTGTGGAAATTGAGGATCCAGCAAAAGATTCCCTGAAAACTACCCTTGCTTCCATATTCCTTGAAAACTCTTTGTAAAAGATCACATATCTAAGTTTGAAACCATTTTACTAACTATCTGGACACATTAAGAGAATGCATTACTTTCAAAAAGACCTCAACAATAAGAGAGAATTAAAGAGTACCAAAATGTACCTCAGTCTTCTTAACTACCTGGATTCACTCCACATGTAGATGCACCCTGGCTTGGGACAGCTACAGTAAGGGTTAAGATGAAACAGATGACAAAATGGTCATAATAAACAGCACAGGGAAATGTGGGTGATCTTTAAGAGCCTACAAGTTTTACTATTATGATTTTGCCAGCACATCTTACCTTATATGTTAGTTAATGGAATTCTTACAATTGCCTCAAGGGTTGAACTGACTCTTGGTCAGAAAGACCAGAAGGCCCTCATTCTCTAAATTTGTTGCCACAGCCAAAGCTGGGGGAGGCGAAGATAGAGAAGCCTCTCCCCACCACCCTCTCTCTTTAATATGAAAATAATTGCTTCTACTCTTGGAGACCTGGCTTAATTAGACTAATCTGATTTTCTGGTGGTAAAGCTAACATTAAAATGCTATTGCTCTGAGAGCTCTAATTATAGAGCAATCATGCTTTTTCTTAACGGATACTAAATTCGAATGCCATAATGTTGGGTGAGGTCATTGTGAATAGGTCTATTTTGAGGTACCACATGAATTTCAGGGACAATTATGCAGTGACAGAAAGTTTTATTTCAGAAAAAAAAAAAAAAGAATTGCTACTACAATTAATCTAAACACATAAGGTTCCACAAGTTATTTCCTGTTATGATCCCTGACCATAACACCTGTTCTTCCATCCCAAACTCTTCAAACTCAACCCCTTCCTGACTTCTCTTCTTAGCTACCCACTTCTTCATTTTCTTTCTTTCCTAGTCTGAATGTGATGTTCAACCTTTTGATGGATACTCTGACCAACACTCTCAGCCCTCTTACACTCTTAAACTTCTGCCTATCCATTCCGCCAAGATGCAGCTCAGAGTCAAACAACCATCTGTTCTCTCTACTACTGCTTCTAGTTTGCCAAGCACTGCTGGAGAAATTGTATAACTGCTGATTCATGCCATGACAAATCTGCAGTTCCCAAACTCACCTTGACCTTTAACACTACTTGGCAATCCTTTCACTCTTGTTTGGTTGGCTTCCTTTGCCACCAATAGCGCAGGTGCTATTCCAAACCTCAGGTCATTACTCTTTCAAAGTTTCTTACTATACTTCAGGAAAAACTGGTGCTCAACTTCCCTTCTTTCTACTTGTAATGGACAACTATAGCTTCACCCTCCCTACTTGTGTCCCAGAGTTAATGTAATGTATAAATGATCCCCTGTTAATACTTTTTTAAATATCTTAAAGTCTGTATATATTATCAAAAGTCACTTCTTTTGTAAGTCATATTCTAGGCTGAAGAAGTGGCCATCAGAATGTTAGGAAATAAAAGGAGCTGATTGGCTACAGCAAAGAGCACATCAGAATAGCAAGTGTTCTTCCACTTTCAATCATTCACAAGCAAGGACAGAAAGGAAGGTGAGTTGGGATGCTGCCTGCCTATTAAATGTTTTAAAATTCTAACATATTTCTGCCAACCAAATGTCACAGCATGAAAATTAAAGAGGTCACACTGCAGTGATCAATGTCATTTTTTGTCCTCTACTGTTTGCTTCCACACCACATCTACAGTCTAAAAAGCTAATCATAATAATAATTAGTCCACTTAGTTCCTTCTTTTGACCATGTGGAGTTGGCTTACCCTTATTCGATCAAAACTTTTCATGGGAACTCCTAGGGTAACCAAGTGAATTATATTTGCTTTACCTGATATGGCTATTCTAATTTAATGTCATATTACACTAGCTATCATACAAAACTTACAAGTGAGATATATATGCTTTAGAAAAAAAGTATTTATAGAGACTGCCTAATGAGAAGTGTTGATGTACTAGTAAAATATACTTAGGAGAGATATATGTATCATATCTAATCAGGAGCAGATCCAGGTTTTGTGGGACCCTGAAGTGTATATAATTTGGAGAGAGCTCTCTTTCCAAAAAAGAATACAAAATTACGAATTCAAAATGAGGTAAAGGGCCTTTGGTAGAGTTCTGTTAAAATGAAGGGCTCTAAAGCTTAAGCTTTGTTAGTTTCATATAAATCAGCTTTTTTTTATATATTTGACACAAAAAAACCCTCAAAATGCACTAAAATATAAACATCCAACATGAATCAGGAACGTTACTTAATACTACATTTCATTCTCATAATAAACGTTTTTATTTACCATTCTCATTTTCATTAAAGTAGTAACTGAGACTTAGAGAAGTTAGTAACTTACAGCTCAGGGCTCAGAGTGAAAGTGAGATTCAAACCAAGACCTGGCAAACTAAAACTTGTGTCATTTTAAATAAATAAATATAGATAGATATAGGTAGATATAGATATAGATATGATATAGAGATAGATATAGAGATAGAAATATAGAGATATGTTTTTATTGATTTCAGAGAGAAGAAGGGAGAGGGCGCAAGGGATAGAAACATCCATGATGAGAATCATTGATCAGCTGCCTCCTGCACACCCCCTACTGGGGATAGAGCCCACAACCTGGGCTTGTGCCCTGAGCAAGAATCGAACAGTAATCTCCTGGTTCATGGGTCAAATCTTGTGTTATTTTACTGCAATACTCTGCTTTTAAGGTTTCCCGAAAGACAAAGGGTTTAAGTTAATTTGAAGACTGCCCCTAGAAAATGCTTGGAAATGTTTAGTTAATACTTGAAAATGACATAACCTAATTCACATTTGAGAACATCACTAAAATTACTGTCCTAAAACTGTGTTTAAAGGGCATGAAGAAATAAATATATAACTCTTTGGGTTATCTTCTGCTCATTAAGTGACATAAATAAAGACAGAAAATCTTAGGGTCTAGGAGAAACGTGGTTCTGATAAAGAAAGAAAAATGGAGGCAGAATCAGAATCTGGAGTTAAGTCTAGAATTACAGCCTCTCAGGAAAAAGCCTGGCTAAGGAAGGACATACTGACAGTATGGATCTTTCACAAATTATATCCTCTTGCTACATGTCCAATATTAATCCACCTCCCATTGAGATATTTCAAGTTTTAAAAATAGGAAAATAGTTACATTTGCCAAATATATAATACTACTCAATATTACATCTGTTCCTTATATTTGCCAGTTTGGCCTCTATTTTTAGAAAATGTCTCTTAGAGGCCTCTCTTCCTCCTAGGATCCCCCAGAAGGTAGATAGATGCTTTGTTTTTAACTTTTCTTCACCCACAGAATTCAGGACTGTGCCCTACAGATAGTAGGGATTCCATGGAGGTTAACTGCCATGGAAGATGGTGTTGTTGAGTTATTTTTGATAGGCTGCCATTTTCTACCACATTAGGAATTCCATAATATAGATGTTCTATGACTATATGATCTAATCAAAGACTTCAGAATAAAACTTTTGGCATTAGCTAAAGCTAAGGCAAGAACTTACCAGATGTAGTTAATAGTATTTTTAGTCAACAAACTGTCATTGATGTTGGAGTTACTTAAAAGACCTGTTGATTCTGTGGTCTTGGGACCATTGTGACCTCAAGCTGCAGCTAAAATCAGTCCAATGCAACAGGAGTTTCAAGAACAGCAGCACAAAAATGATGACAACTGAATGGAACAAGAAGGCACATATTTTCAAGAAAACCTCTTTATTCTTAAAGTAGAAGTTTCCCTTCAAGATGACAAGTAGTTCAGACTCACCAGGTTCTCACTTATCCCCCAAAACAAGGTGAGTCTTTGACCAAAGATGCTAAGTGATAATTATCCAGTAGGGAAAAAGAAAGTTTCTATTAACCCAGACTAAATGCAGATACTATGGTGTCTCTTCCCACAGAAGTTCTAAAATAGATTGCAACTTCTTGAAGGAATTGAATGAGGACTTAAAACTAAGAAAACTGGAACTTCTAGAGCTGCTAACACCGCTTGAAGATAAGAACAACCCCTTATTCCAAAAGTTAATGTCTAACTTAGAGGAAAAACAAAGAAGGTAATGGCTCCCTACTCAGGATTTCCTAACGGCAGAAAGCCTGGAGAAGGTTAATCCATAAGATTAACAATTATTATTTACATGTTAAAAAAAAGGTTTAGACATTCAGCTAAAGTAGGTAAAAAAAATTTGTAACCATAAAATCAGAATGGCAAGGAATCCTTTTTTCTCTTTTAGTAAAATTAAATATGAGTCAGCCCTCATCTCATGGAGTTACAGTTATTACTCTTTTCCCTGGTGTATCTACCCAAGAAAAGATAAGGGCCTTTAATATCTTCAGTTTATCATGGTCACACTAATAGCGCCTTATTCGTGTTTGTGGAATCACTTTAGGATAGATGACTCTGCTCTTCCCATGCCAAGCAGTGGAATGGCAATCTTTTTAAGCATACTAGGCAGTTAGGTCTTAATGCTTCACCAAGATACTCACTGTTCTTGAGACCCACCAACTCTCTATTACCTGTCTAGTGTTGGGCAAACTCACCTTAATGTGTTTACCTTCATCCTCTACCCTTATCATAAGCATCTCAGGGAGCTCAGAATTTTGGAGAATAAATGCCAGGTAGAAAGTTGTGGTCAAACAAACCCAGAATCTCAGACTTCTCTTGGAGCAAGAAAAAAACAAAGTCTTGCTTCTCTGCTTCTCATTAGAAAGGAAAAAGTACAACAATATAAACATTATTATTTTTTTAATATATTTTATTGATTTTTTTTTACAGAGAGAAAGGGAGAGGGATAGAGAGTTAGAAACATCGATGAGAGAGAAACATCCATCAAGTTGCCTTCTGCACACCTCCTACTGAGGATGTGCCCACAACCAATGTACATGCCCTTTACCGGAAGCAAACCTGGGACCTTTCAGTCTACAGATCAACGCTCTATCCACTGAGCCAACCTGGTTAGGGCAATATAAACATTACTAATGCCATTAAAGGATACCTTCTCTCACAAAGACTTGCTACTGATTCAGATTTTGTTAGAAACTTCTTCATGGCTTGATTCCCTGGGGGCTACCATAAGGATATAAGTGGTTTCCTCAACTAACTCAAATTTCTTTATATGGAAAAGCAAGGTGGGGGAGATGTACAGAGACAGGGTAGGGAATAATTCTTGGATTTATCCTGAAGACAACAGGTTCTTTGACTTCCTTCAAAGGAGCAAAAGTGCCCCTTCTACCCCAAAAGTCATATATCAAACATTCTTCTGATAGAGTGGAGAAGAGCCTCACTGGCTGTTGAAGACCTACGTTTTGAGCATTATAGAACACAGAATTTATTATAGAGTACACAGCTAAGACAAATGTCAATTAGGAATGGAGTCTGCCTACTAAGACCTGCTATATCCAGAAGGACTTTCATAACTCCCATGATTTCAGCCCCCACCTCACTCCCATGGTAGAGTACTTTCTGACTGGTTACAAAATATTAATATTATTCTTTAGGAAGTATTATGTTTTATGATGTCTCTCTCCTCCTTCTAGTCTGCAGATTATGAGACAGATCATGGCAGGGAAGGGGAGTGAAGAATCCTCAGCTCTGGAGATCATTAAGGAAGCAGAGGACATGAAGCAGAATCTAGTAAGAGGTTGATGGGCACTCTAGGGAATGGCCTCCTGGTCAGAGATCGATTCCATTGCTGTGGAAGGAAAGACAGAGGGTTCATCTCTAGTATCTGATGCTCTAACATTTATACATCCTTGATCTAGAAAGTGCAGGATGATCCAAAGGAAGTCAGATAAAATGTTGGGGAAAACAAGGACTAATAGCTAGCAAATATTCTATCACGTTAACTTTGTAAAAACTTCTTATCTAGTAGTCAATAAATACAAGCATAGTAACCCTTCACATTTCAGAAGGGATAGAACATTCCTACCAAAATAAAATAAAATAAAAAGTTTGTTCTGAAAGTTTTATAAGATTTTTTAAAATCAACAATGTAAAAGATCTTAAAAAATAGAAAGTAGTTGTTTAAGCCCCAAGAAATTTCCATATGATCATACACCTTAAGTATTATCAGTGTGAGGAACCCATTTCTATTAATATCATACCACAGTTACCATAATGAAAGTTATTCAAAATTTTTATTATTTTTTATCATAATCATCATCAAACTCATCTCTCATGTTCCTGGATTTGGGGCTAGGCTCATTGTTGCTTTCCTCTGTGGGTGACTATGTCCCTGCACTCCTTTCCCCTTATTACTTAATAATTTCTTTGAATTTCACTTTAATGATGGGAACAGACACATGTTTCTGTTTGTTTGGTTCTCCCCCCCCCCCCCCCCGCCCCCCAACCCTTCCCCAAAAACAGGAAAGGAAAAACAAGATGCTACGGAAAGAAATGGAGATGCTATGGAACAAGGTGTGCCTCTAAGTATCTCTTGAAAGTATTGTCTTACAGACCATAATGAAAATATACTTCCCTTCCTCTGGTCCGTATCCTCATTTTCTTCATGTCCCTGCTTCCACTCATGCCTCATTCTAATTCATTCTTTGCATAGCAGCCAAAGTGATATTTTTAAAACAATCAAATCATATCACTCTTCTTATGAAAACCCTTCACAGATACCTCTTATTGTGGCATATCTGGCTCTGGCCTGCCTCTCTCGTCTCCTCTCATAGAAGTCCTTCCCTCCCTCATTGTGGTTTCTCAAACATGCTAAGACTTTTCCTATCTCAAGGCTTTTGTTCTTGCTTTAGCCCTGGCCTGTAATGGTATTTTCTTATGGTTGGATCATTCTCATCCTTCAGGTCTCTGTTTAAATGTCACCTCCTCAGGGAGGCCCTCCTTGTTTACTTTATCTAAAATATGGCAACCCCCCTCCAATCTATTGTGCAACCCTGTTCATGTCTTTCATAACACTTTTTATGATATAAGCTTATCTTCATTATTTTTAATTATTATTTTACTTGTTTCTTGTCTCCTTGCTCTTGGAATAAGAGCTCCTCCAGTATCTTGATTGCTTTAGTTATCTCTGAATGCCTAGCACATACCACAATGCTTGGAACAGTAGACAATCAATAAATTTAAATGGCATGAATGAATGAATGAATGAATACCTAATTCTAATTCCCCTATAATTTTGCAGCAATCGTTGCATTGTTTAAGATGACAATAGTAGGGCCTTTTGCTGGAAAACCAGACAGGTAGAAATTCTTTTGTGGACTAAGTCCTTGGTATCTGAATGCTTTTCCACAGACTATGTGACTAGAAGAGCAGATTGTGTCTTGTGATAAAAAAAAAGGTGTGTCCTGTGATTTCTGATTGCTTTTTTTTTGTTTGTTTCTTTGTTTTTTGTTAATCCTCACCCGAGGATATTTTCCCATTGATTTTTAGAGAGATTAGAAGGGAAAGAGAGAAAGAAACATTGATGTGATAGAGACACATTGATTGGTTGCCTCCCACACCCACAGGGGACCAGGGATGGAGCCTGCAACCAATGTATGTGCCCTTGACCAGAAGTGAACCCAGGACCCTTCAGTTTGGGGGCTGACACTGTCTACTGAGCCCAATCAACCAGGGCTCTGAGTGATTTTTTTAATCTCACCTTTCCACAAATAATCAGGATACCATCCAGCCTTGCATCTTATACTGAGATCCCCTACTTCTCAGTGGCAACTACAAATCAGTTCTATGAATTGTGAGTTTTAGTTCCTGAGTTCTTGAGTCTTTGTGACAGGAAATAGCCTCTATCAAAATCCAGCTTCTCCAGAGTTCCTAAGAGACTTTTTATAAGGGATGTCCAAATGACTTCGATTGTAATTGACTTTCCTTACCCATACTTTTAGACAGTGAGAATGGAGAGAGGAGCAGCCTGCCTAATGGCTAAGAACCCAGGCTTCAGAATCTGATAAATCTGGTTCAGATTCCAGCTCTGTATTTTCCTAGCTGTGTGATCCCCAAAAATGACTTCACCTCTCCAAGTCTCAGTTTTTTCATCTGTAAAATGGAAATAAAAATAGTCCTATAAGGATTGAATGAGAATGTTTTTAATGTAGTAGAGTAGTGTAAGTAAATAAGTAGTTTATACTAGTGATTGGTATATAATAAAGGTTCAATTAATAGTTATTATTATTATAAGATACACTCGAGGGACCAAATGGAAGGGCTTGTTCCATTCTGAACCCCCTTTGGTAGTTCACTTTTCATGTAGGGCCCTGAGAGATTGCTGACTGGCAGGAACCAAAAGCTTTAACCCATGTTGGATTTCCACTTCCCTTACTCATTCCTGCTAATTTAAAGCTTTTCCAATATGTCTCTCTGCAGACATTCAACACAGAAGAAATCAGTGATCAACAAAAAGCACCACAGATAAAAAACAAAGCAAACGTGCAGGATGGAAAGGCAAGTAGACTTCTTGGTATTTGATACTACACAACTGGAAACAGCAGTTGACAATCAGGGCTATTTTGGATAGGCAGATAGGTAAGATCTGGGCCTTTAGGATATACTGGACTTATTGTCTGCTAAGACCTTGTACTTCTTTCCAGGGGCCTCCTATTTTTTTTTTTTTTTTAGCTCTCTTCTTTCACCCCAGGCTCCTGAAACCCCCTTATCACCTAGGAAGATCAAGAGTGAATTGGAGATATCATATGCAGAGAAACTGAAGGAGATAGGGAAGGTAGTACACATTTTCTGAATGGCACTGGCTTTTAGAGCTGACAGAGTCAATATCATTAATGCAGCAGTAATATGCCTCTATTATAATGTGCTTCTGAATTGATGCAAAAATTTATAGGAGATCTGATTCCCTTTTGACGTTATATTTGAGTCAGAGTGACACTGCAGTTCTGGGAAATCATGTTGGTGAGGGCAAAGTGGGAGAAGCTGTGCCAACAATGACAGTTTCACAATAGCTATGTGACATCAAAACACCTGTTAATCTGTTTTTGAACATTTATTTTGGTATTATGCTTGTATCTAATCTTCTCTCAGCCAATTCATTCATAGAAAATTATCCTGTTCACTTAGATTTTAACTTTTGGAGAGTGAATTGTAGGGTGAGACCAATTGAAAGGACTGTGTAGTTGAAACCAATTTGTTAGTGAATCTATGACACCATAATTTTACTCTAAAGTCTTTGTGGCATATTGAGAAAACTGATTTCTGATCTCAATTTACTTTGTCACCCAGAGGCTCTTTCTTCCACCAGGAAAAGCAACAGAGGAAAACAGAATGGGTGAGGTACCAGGAACAAGCCAACAACCTTCAGGTATTAATGTCTTCCAAGGCTAGACTCGGGGTACAGTTTCATTCATACAATGTAAAGGCTTTTAGTTTCATAATGTTAAGCCTGATCCCTTTATCTCAATTACCAATTGTCTTGCTAAAAGAAATGAATGTTTCATGGGGAGACATCTGGAGAGAACTGTCTCCAGCTTCACCTTCAGTAACTTGGGGATAAATAGCATTTTTCCCTATGGTCTTGATTTTGTTCTATTTGAAACGGGGGGGGGGGGGGGGGGGGGGATCACAAACACTTTCTTCCCAACTTTAAAAAACTAAGCATGATAGGATCATTTTTAAACTTCTGAGTAAAAAGGATTCAGGTAATAGTGGTTTTAGAGAAGCCAGTAGTGTACGAATAGTTTTGAAAAATGTTCTCTTTGTAGAATGACTTTAATGGAAAAGTGATTGAGCTCAGAATTGAAGCCTTGAAGAACTACCAGAAGGCCAATGATCTGAAATTATCACTATACTTACATCAGAATTTTGAGCCAAAGCAAGCATTTTTTTAAATCTTCCTGGGCCCCAAGAAGGTAGGCAAATTTTATAGATACATAGTTTGAGGTTTTGTTTTGTTTTACATTAGAGATCCCACTACTTGTAGAGTGATCAACATAATGTCTGGCACATAGTAAGTTAAATGTTAGTAGTGTTATAATACATTTTTATCACTATCATCATCATTATTATTATTACTCAGAAGCTCTCATACCAAGGTAAGGATTTCTCTGGAGGAAGTGAAATTTTCTTTTGTAAGAACTAATACATGATATGCTTAGCATATGTAGTTAATACATAGTTGGCATTTGATAAACTAGTTTCCTCCCCATTCCCCTCTCCTCTCCTAGAAATTAAAGTAGCTTTATCTCATGAATCTAGTTGGAATAGACTCTGCTACTTCAAAACAGAGAGCCAAAGAGATAGACATCAAACAATGGCTATGAGTTTCACCAATTCAGATATTCCTCTGGGAGTTTCAGCATCCCCCCATCCTCCACCCCACTCCCGTCCCAAAGAATTTATGGCATCATTAGAGCAAATCATATAGTTTACCAAAAGAAAGAAAATAATGTTTTCGGAGGGGCAGGAGAAAAGAGTTCTTAAATTTTCAGGGATCTATGAATCTGAACTCTGTATTTTAAAAAAGACACATAGAATGAGAAATCATAGCGAAGGGATGATAATGTTTTATCAGTATCAGTAACATGTATCTCTAATTTCTTCTCAGTTGTATTCCATAAAGAGCTTAAACAGTTTATAAATTCAAGCACAACACAGGATAAAATAAATAGATAGGACAAAATAAATGGACTAGAAAATCAACACAAAGGGAAAATAATTCAAAGCCAGGTGAATACATGAAAATACATAACGGAAGTACTATATAGTTGGTAGAGGCAGGCTTCAAACATGATTCTGAATTTCCCAGAAAAAGAAACATAGACTTATGGTATCCACAAAATAAGCAATCACCAATTGATCGGGAGAACCATAGCTTTTATTGGCACTGAGACCAGGAGAAATTTCTTTCCAAGTCCTTATCATGGGGACAGGATACTATGTGTATTATAGTAGCTAGTGTCCTCAATAATTACTCTACAATGAATTCACAATCTAAATTTCCTAGACTGTTTCCTATCTGTTCCTTGGCACAATCTGATAAGAAATTATTAATTTGAAGTTTAAAAAAAATGATGAATCAGTTCAAGATGATTTGGTCCAGATATATAGCATTCTGTTAGTCTGACTTGATCCATATGCAAATTTAGAAAATCTAGAAGACTGGATGGACTATCTATCTTTCAGCCAGTGTTCCATTCATATTTGTCTTTTAACTGTATATATATATATATATATATATATATATATATATATATTTGATTTTTTACAGAGAGGAAGGGAGAGGGATAGAGAGCTAGAAACATCAATGAGAGAGAAACATCGATCAGCTGCCTCCTGCACACCCTCTACTGGAGATGTGCCTGCAACCAAGGTACATGGCCTTGACTGGAATAGAACCTGGGACCCTTCAGTCCGCAGGCCGACACTCTACCCACTAAGCCAAACTGGTTAGGGCTTAACTGTTGTTTTTGATAAGAATTGGATACAGAGCCCGAACCGGTTTGGCTCAGTGGATAGAGCGTCGGCCTGTGGACTGAAAGGTCCCAAGTTCGATTCCGGTCAAGGGCATGTACCTAGATTGTGGGCACATCCCCAGTAGGGGGTGTGCAGGAGGCAGCTGGTCGATGTTTCTAACTCTCCATCCCTCTCCCTTCCTCTCTGTAAAAAATCAATAAAATATATTTATAAAAAAAAAAAAAGAATTGGATACAGAAAGCTTGAGGCTTTCTTCTCCAATAAGAACCTGGAATACAACCAGAACTACTATAAAGTCATTAAGATACTAATGAAAATGATAGAGGAAAAGAGGGTTCTGAGGAGGAGAGATCCTTGTTTTACTTAATTTAAAATTATCTGAAGGTCATCTTGAGGGATCCATGGAGTAAGGGGTCAAAATTCTTGGAGTTCTAGATTTAAATCAAGCCAAAATTAGTAATAAATGAAATATTCCATTCAACTTCATCACCTCAAACTCTGAGTCTTGGAGCTGTGAACTAGGACAACCCTCAGATCAACATCCTTTTTGTCATCTCTCCTCCTATGTGTCTGGAGAATTAAGTGATAGGACACCAACCCGTTTTGTTACAGCGAATGAGTGTAGCCACAAGCACGAGTGACCCATTGCTACTGTGTTTTATTGAGTATGCATTCATTGAGCATGGATTATAGGCCAGTTTAATTTTTTAATACACACATATGGGTCTGAAATCTAAGTCTTAGTTTGGTTATGTTGACCTATTTATAACCTTGTGCTTGATTTTTGCAAAGTAAACAAAAGAAACATTAGTTTCCTTTATAGAGGGATTTTTAAAGTAATTATCTTAAGATTATTGCCAATAGTGATATAATAGGGAAGTGATTTGGTGGTGCTCAGTGTTTCCCAACTTCTATGTCCCTTGGACTATTGTTTATTTAATTTTTCTCCGTAGATTGAGTTTAAATTCTTAAACACATTACTTGAAAATAAAATTTATATTACTATTTTAAATGAAAGCTAGTGCAGTTATTTATAACAGAAAGTAAATATAATACTAAGTATATGGAAAACAAAATTTTAATATTCTAACAAGATGTTGAAGGCTGAGGTATGTTTTATTTTTATTAGGAAATGAAATTAGCAAGATGTAGAGAGTTTTGTTTTTTATTTTTTTTTAACATATTTTTTATTTATTTTAGAGAGGAAGGAAGAGGGAGAGGGAGAGAGATAGAAACATCAATGATGAGAGAGAATCATTGATCGGCTGCCTCCCGCACTCCCCTCAGTGGGGATCGAGCCCGCAACCCCAAGATCTGCCCTAACCAGGAATCAAACCGTGATCTAGTTTATAGGTCGACGCTCAACCACTGAGCTACGCTGACCAAGCAAGATGTAGAGAGTTTTAAAGAAAACCCAGCAACATATTGAAACTTTCTCCTTGATGCCATCAAGGTTGAGAGAATTAAAAAGGGATAGTTTTCCCACTGTGACTTATAGTAATGTGTTTAGCATTAAATAAACCTTCCAGATTTATTTCAGTTGCCACCTAAAGTCATCTCATTGTCAAATTTTAGGAAATAGTAATTTAGTGTAAAAAGCACTATGTTTAGAATCATGTATAAATTGAAGGCCTTACTCTGAGGCTAATCAGTTAAATAACTTGAGCAGGTCATTTAGTTTCAGTTTTTTCTTTATCTAAAATAACCATAAAATATTATAGAGCATGTTGAAAACATATGGTGGCCTTGGGGTTTTTTTAATCATCTCTCAAGAATATGTTTATCGATTTTAGAGAGAGAAGGAGAAGGAAAGAGAGGAAGAGAGAGAGAATCATCTATGTGAGAGAAACATTAATTGGTTGCCTCCAATATGTGCCTTGACCAGGAATCAAACCTGCAACCTAGGTATGTGCCCTGATCAGGAATCAAACTCAAGTCTTTTTGGTGTGTGGGACTATGCTCCAACCAACTGAGCCAACAGGGCGAAAGCATATGGTTTTGATCAACCCTCACAATGACTCTGTTGGGTAGTGATTATAGAACAAGAAACTAGTTCAGAGAAGTCAGGCTTCTGACTCCATATCCAAAGTTCCTCTCCTAGAATATGCTATACAATGGCAGCATTAAAGTATGTGATTTTTATGACTCTTCCATTTCTACAGGCTATGACTCGAATTCAAACTTATCACTAGTTTAATGTATAATCTTCCGAATGAAGAATCATACTCCTTAAGATTAATTTGTTCAGTAAAACAGGTTGACAGATTTGTAATTCTGAATTTAGCCCAGTAGGTGGCACCCATCACATCCATGCTTCTAGTCCACAGTCAAGGTAATTCAGGAAATGCTGTGGGAGCGACTGGCCTTCTATTACCCTTGGGACAATATATCAATTGAAACACACACACACACACACACACACACCCCACAACTTATTGATGTTTACTGTCATGCTCTGTGGTACTGAGGTGTATCATTGGCAGCCTTGATTAGACTGTATTAAAATTGGAATTCTGCTTCACAATTCTTATCTATTTTTCTACTCCTCCCCCAAAAATAGTCACTGCCCACTTCCTCCACAATCCCTATCTATCACTGTTTCTTTTTACCGTTGATAAATTAGGTGATTGGGGCACTGAATTAAAAATCAGTTAGGGAATTGCACAAGGTGTGGTGGTTTCTTGAAGGTTAAGTACTTAGCAGTGTTCCTGGGTCATTTTTCTTTTCCTCTAGCTCCAAAAGAATTGAATTTCACAAATCTGTCCTAAGGAAGAGGTGGAATGTAATTTTGGACCCATCTCCCAGTAAATCAAGGTACAGGACTTATTGTTCTAGGCATTTCCAAGTAGAGAGAGCACTTCTCTCACTGCTCTTGCCAAGAATCCCTCCTCAAACATCAACTGTCCTGTGTACTGGTTGGCTGAGTCCCAGTGATATGACCTATTTGGTTGGCAAAATTTAATACTATGTTAATATTACTGACTTGGTTACACTTCAAGCAATCACTACTTTTTTTTTTTTAATATATTTTATTGATTTTTTACAGAGAGGAAGGGAGAGAGATAGAGAGTTAGAAACATCGATGGGAGAGAAACATCGATCAGCCGCCTCCTGCACATCTCCCACTGGGGATGTGCCCGCAACCCAGGTACGTGCCATTGACCGGAATCGAACCTGGGACCCCTCAGTCCACAGGCCGACGCTCTATCCACTGAGCCAAACCGGTTTTGGCGCAATCACTACTTTCAAATTCCCTTGAGGCCCAGGTTGTAGTATTAACCTTGTCAGTCTTATCTGTTTAGCACACTGCATCACCTAGTCTTATAGAAGAGAAAAACATTTTATACCTAGGTAAAGTCTTTCCTTTTAGTCTTTCCAGAGATGGGGCACATTTGGAGGGATTTGCTTTCCCACCAGAGTAAAATTACAATTTGACCCAGGGTATATGGCAGCCCTTCCTTGGCTTCAGTAGAGTTGAGAGAGCAGTTCTTGGCCTTTGTCACCTATCTTAGAGAACACAGGCACCAAGCAATCTGTAAATTCAGCTGAATTTCTCATCATGCCTGCTAGTGTTTAAGGAAGAGGTTTATCTTTAGTAATAATAGAAGTGGTGATAAGACATTTGATTCTGACAGCCTTGGTTTTCTCTCCTCCGCCCTCCCCCTCCCCAAACTCTTAGCATTTTCTTGAACTCTTTTGAGAAGCTGAAGGTTAGATGTGAATATTTTGCTACATTTATAAATTCAGAGGAAAGTACAGTGTGGTGGGAAATGAATACTCGTGAGACCTTATTTATTCTATAACTCCCTCTGTTCTAAAAGAAAGCAAGTCATTCTTCTCAGCTTTAACCTTTACTTCACTTTAGTATTACTCTTCCTGATGGCTGACATACACTCCAGCAGGTGCTGCTGAAAGGAAAATAAGCTAAAATGCTGAAAGGCAGGATGGAAACCCACAGCTAGCTTAAATCTGGGTCCTTGATAAATAGTATTGCTCTCAAACACAGGCCTTTTTAAGCTTTGAGGCAACTCAATGTCAGATTTATGGTATTAGTAGGTTATGAAGCTAATTTCTAAACTAGGTCATTCTTTCACTTCATAGAAAACCCCACAGAATTCCAGGAGGAGAATAAGTCTTTTTTCCAAAATATACATTTTAAAGGTTTAAATAAAGTAAACGGCACTTTTATTATGATTATTTCAGTGAGTGACAATAGATTCCAAACTTTTTTGCACCACACTCAGGAGAGCAGCAGGACGTCTAGGATAGGGTTGTCATATTTAGCAAATAGAAAGAGGATGCCCAGTTAAAACTGAATTACAGATAAACAATTCTTTTTTAGTATAAGTGTCCCAAATATTGCATGGATACACTTATAATAAAAATTATGTGGTGTTTATTGAAATCCATATTCAACTGGGTGTCTTATATTTTAATCTGGCAACACTAACCTAGGACAGATTCACTACAAAGCCTATTTAGCACCCTACAATTCTCCCTCTCTCCCCTTTTTTTCTTCTTTTTTATTGCCTCCCTTCTCCTGCTCTATCTCAGACTGTGCCTCCTCTTTGTCCTCCCTACCCCACCTTAATCTTTGGTTTGTTCTTATTATCCACAGTTGGCCATTTTTGTGGGTTATCTGAGGGTGTGACTGTATGTATATGAATTACCATCACATTTCTTCATTTAAAAGTTGTATTAGAAATACATTTTGTAGCCTCTCAAATAAAATCACTTATTTGCACGTAATATTCAATGATTATTTTTTTTCCTGTGGGACATGAGCTCTCAATAAAAACAAAACAAAACAAAAAGGCTTGTCACTCCAACGTTAAAAATACTGCTTAATAAAGTTGTTTCTTTTTAATTGTTTTAAATCCTCCCTATGGATATGTTTTTATTGATTTCCATAGAGAGAGGAAGGAAGGGAGGCGAGAGAAAGAGAGAGAGAGAGAAACATCGATGTGAGAAACATTGATCAACTGCCTCCCTTAGTTGCCCTGACATAGGACCAAACCGAAATTTAGGTATCGAATCGAACCTGAATCGAACCCGCAACCTTTTGCTGTATGGGATGATGTTCCAGTCAACTTAATCACTTGGCCAGGGCAATAAAGTTGTTTTCTAAAACAGCAATTAGAAAATCCACATTAATGCTAATACCAGAGTCAATCTTATAGTCATACAATAATAATACTGTGATGAATGTTAATAGCCTTGCAACACAAACTAAAACTAGTTTTTTTTTTTCCTCAAAGAAAGCTCTCATTGTCCTAATGTTTCCCTTCAGGTACTGTGGGCACTACAACTATGGGCAGAGCAACTAAGGGCAAAAATGAATCTAATGTGGTGAGAACTACTTTCATTTTCAAAATCACTTTAACGTCTAGACAAGTTGTAGATTTTTGGAATGCATTTGTTAATGTACATTCTAATTTAATATTTTTAGGGGATTTGCAAAGTGAGTACCAGGGTATTTGATGTTTTAGCTGTGTGTGTGTGTGTGTGTGTGTGTGTGTGTGTGTGTGTATTTGTTTTCCTCCTTCCTCTTTCAGAGAGTCCTGGGATCTAAGACCTACACAGAACAAGGAATTAAAGGAAGTCAGTTTGATGATGTAGGAGGGAGGCTCTTTTTTCTGTGGTCACTGACAGATGAATCTCTGAAGATTTCGAAGGCTTCCACTCCATTTGCTTGGACAGATTTAAAGACTAAGCATAGCCATTTGTGTCCATTAAAATCTCTCAAACCTTTGCTTTAGTGCTGTTCACATCTCATTCCCCACCAAACTGGGTGGAAATGCTAGTTAGATGCTTGGCCTTAAGCATGTTAGGAATTTAGTCATTTATGGATTGTAAACAGCCTCTTTTGATAGCTTTTGATTTTGAAATGACTAGATTCAAACCACATTGGATATTGTTAAGTCCATAAAAAGCTGCTCCTCTCAAACTCTGAAATGTTTAATTATGGGCAGATCCACTGGCAAATGAATAAAAGTAGGTACAAAGTAAGGAAAATTATACTCCACAGACTCCTCTTACTCTCCCACCAACCACATCCATTTGCCCAGGTCATCTTTATCTACTAGTATTCTTTGAATACCTGCTACCTTCCTAGACTACTGTTTTAGTTCAGCCCCTCTTTCCTGCCTGGATTACCACCACCTCTTAATTTGTTTCCCTGCTTCCAGTCCCTCTAATGACTGGCACCACTGAAACTACCTTTTCTAAGAAAGAAATGAGGTCATATCACTTCCCTATGGGTTTCCCATTGACTTTAGTGTAAAGCCCACACTCAGTCACAGACCATATAATAATGACCTGCCTCCTCCTGCCTATGTCTCCAGGCTCATCCCCTTCCCTCATGCATCCTACACTGAGCTCTGCAGAACTATTTGTAGTTCCCCTGATGCACCCTGAGTACTATTCTTTCCATGCCTTCGAACAAAGCTGTTTCTCTGCCTGAAAAATTCTTCTTTCCTTGTCTGCTTGACCATTGCCTATTTGTCCTAAGGGATGAGTGTAGTGCCCATCTTTTATCCCAGTAATTCTCAACCCAACTTGTGTATTAGAATTTTCTCAAGAGCTTTTAAAAAATACCAATTCATTGAGCTCCTTTCCAGATAATTTAAGTCATGATCTCTGAGGGATAGGGCAAGAGCATCTGTATTTTTTTAAAAGCTCCTTGGGAAATTCTTAAGTTGCAACCTTAAGCCAGGTTTGAGAATTATTGTTCTAGGCTCTCTGACCTCTACCATAGCACTTAATGAACTATATTGCAATTATTTGCTTACCCAGTTAACTCCCTCATCAAATGGTAAGCTCTTTGAAGCCCAGGACCATGTCTTGTTCATCTTTTCATTCTGACCACCTAACACAGTGCCTGAGATTTGATAGAGGCTCAGATACTGCCAAAGGCCATAGAAAGCAAATTGCAAAGTTCTAGGTCTGTTGAATATCTGTCTTGTGCCAATATGATACTACTGGATCATATTGTAGTCCCTGATCTTCAGATCTTCCTTTATTTTGCTTAGGTGTCATTAAATTTCTATGATATTAATATGGGGGAGTTGACTTGTTATAAAACACTACATAACCTGTAATAATCCCTTTTATATTCTAGTAATGAGTAAAGTAAGCCAATCAATTAAAAATCTTCTTTGCCCCCAAATTAATTTAAATCTTTATAAAGGTGTTTGTTTGTTTTTTTAAAATGCACCTTTGAACTAAAAAAGTTTACACAAAATCACAGAATTTGGACTTTAGAAGGGACTGTAAGTAAGCATAAAGTTTCTTCACAGAAGAGGAAACTGGAGTTTAGACATGTTGAAAGGGTATCCAAAGTTCCACAGTTAATTGGGGCTGTTAACAATTAAGCTGAATACCAAAGCCTAGGTGTTATTACTACCAGTTCACATTCCAATTTAACTCATACTTTGCCTTTCTTGACCACAAAAATAACAGGCTCTGCAGCCCTGAGATTATTAGTTTCATATTCTACCAACTGAGTTAGCTGATGTAATCCACATTCTGTTTTAAGAGAGTCAGCAGTCCTGTGAGATGTTCCAAGTCAATTGGATTGAACAGAGCAATGAGAACAAAAATCAGGAATATAAGATCTAACTGTATCACTAACTACCTTGAGCATATCATTTATTCTCAGGGTCTCAGATTCCCAATTTAAAAAATTGGATTAAAAGAGCACCATTTGAATGTTTTAAAATCATGTGTTGTTATTTTTTCCCCCCCTTCAATGCGTTTAGATAAGTAACTGAGCATTTTCCTTATTTTTTAACTGTATTACAATTATTTGTTATTAACTATTCATTAACTAAGGCATGAAGTAAGCTAGTTTGCTAGCTAATGGACTTCTAACTTAGTGAAAAATGAATCATTTACCATCTCCAAAGTACTGAAATTGTACCTTCATCATCAGCCAGGCTTATCACCTTTCTTTAAGTGCTCTAAATCTTTCAAGTTCTTCAAAACACAAAACTGAAATACTGTAGCTTTTAATTCTACTTTGTTTTTAAGACTTTACTTTGGACTCTAACTTTCACCCATATGACAATGCAAAGTTATCAGTTAGGTAGGCTGCCTATGCATGGGCGTCTGCATTTTTATAAATCCAATATATAGATCTCACGTTTGTATGTACCAATTTGCTTGGTTTTTCTTACCCAACAAATCAGAGACTCATTCAAGCTATTGAAACTCCCAAGAGAGTCACTGACAAATCAAATATTGATTTAAATTACAGAGAGGGCTAGATGATTAGAATATACATATATATGTTTGGGCATCCCCATCTCAGAACCAAATTATTAGGGAAACTGAATTAGTGGTCCAAAAGTATTGGTGGAATTGAAACATCATTATTACAGTTTTTAGACTCATAATATTTCTTTCTAAGAATAAAACTCCTGATACCCTTGACCTTCCTTGGGGAGATACTTTTCAATTTTAAGTTCAACTGAGGAAAAACTGTGCCATCAGCAATCCATTTACAAACCACAATGTTGGGTAGTTTTATTTTTGTGGCTTATCTCATTTATTTTACCTTGACTTTCTATTTACAAAATATTTGTTTATATTTCACCACCCAAAGTTACCTTTTTGCAGTGACCTCAAAGTGGTTAGTAATGCTTGTCACACTTCTTTCCTAATTGAAATAAGGCCAACAATAGCCCGATGCTTACATCTTTAGTCTAGGATTGCAGGCATCAAAGAGGACAAGTGACAGCACGCAATATTATGCCTTACATGTTTAGATCAACCAGAAAATCTAGCTTTAATATTGTTTGAGTGAGCTATGGCAATCTTAGGCAGAGGCTTCTGCAATCTGTTACATGCTAAGGCAAATTTCTAGCAGCCCCTCAGGCACCTTGGGAGGAACCTGTACTGCTAGCAAGTCAAAGTCCCCATTGCTTCATATGTTCTGTATTTAGTCATCAAATATTAGGAAAAGGGAAGAGAACAAGTTCTGTATTTGAAAGGGATACTTGCACTGCAACAAATCAATCCCACAGGAGATACACAGACAAATATGAAATGTAACGATTACATGATGAAATGAGATTTTTTCAGAACTGATTCTTTCACAAATTAATTTATGCTTCCTAACATTTAAAACTTTTCCTAGAGGTTCATTTTCAAGGTAAAACACTGTAAAAACATTCCTATAAACTATATTTCCTCCAATTATAAATCAACTTGAGAGGAAATAAGATTATTTAGGTCAACAAAATAATTTTCTTTATATATATATTGCTTTTATAGAGACAAAAATATCTTTTTCTAGGGTAGCTGGGCTCTAAGCTAAGTCTGATGACCTGGAAACCAATAATTAATAATAATTTAAGAAACACATTACTTTTGATTTCAAAAAATTCACTTAACTTTAACTCATGTCAGTTGCTAAACTGGGGCTACCTTTTCTTGACTTGTGTATACTGAACACTAGGAATAGAAGGCCTTGTAAACAGGGCCCTTTTAAGAAATCAAATAGCGTTTGGGCACTTAATGTTACCTTTCCATTGAACAAATCTCATCCTCCTTTCCCTTATCTCATAATTCTTTCCTCTCCTAGCAAATTCTGTTCTCCTTCCTTATAGTTACCCTTTCTTGAATTAAGGCAGGAGAAATACCATAGCTTTTTAAATAGAAATCACTTTTTTATTTTCCTGATTTTTTTCTTTTACCAGGTAAGTGCCCATACAAATAAGTAGCGACCTTGTGCATTTGTAAATAGTCAGGACACATATGGAAGAGTTTCTCCATCTTGTGAATATCAACATGAGATGATGCAGGTAGTATTAAAGGTATACATTACAGCTCTCAGAAAAGAATGAAATCTTTAGTAATGGTGGAGAGAGATAAGACGCTGTAAAAAGAGTAGGACTAATTGCTAACCTATCGAGACACTAGCTTTACCTATGGAACCCAGATCTATCCTTCCTTGGTCCATTTGGTAGGGAGACAGCTAATCTCCATCCTCTGGGTGAGTACCTGATCAAGGCCAAACCAATCAGAAAATGCCACTCTCCTTGCCCTAGTAAGTGCTTTGGGGATAGACACAGGGCCTTAATCTATGAGTCTCAAGATTTTGTCTCAGGACCCCTTTATACTTAAAAATTATTGAGGACTCCAAAGAGCTTTTGTTTATGTAGTTTATATCTACTGATATTATATATTAAAAAATTAAACTATAAATATACAAACACATTCCATTAAATATCCATATTACACATCACACAGCTTCTGGAAAATTGCACAGTATCTAATGAAAGTATGAGAGTGGAAAGACAAATAATGCCTTAATATTAGTATAAAAATAGTTTTGACCTTGCAGATCCTCTGAAAGTATCTTGAAGTCTCCAGGTGTCCCAGACAGGCTCAAAACCTACTGATCTAAATTATAGCCTACAGAAGTCAATACCATCCAAGTTTGCCACCATGTACAAAGAGCTGATGTGACAATTAAGTCAACAAAGAACAAAGCATAGCTGAAAGATGGCTTCTTAATGACATGGTTTCAGAAACTGAAGGTAGCCAACCCTGAAGTTATACACATGTCTGGACTTCCTAGCTGCCACTGAATTCCTTTTGGTTTAACCTAGAATGAGTTACTTGCAACCAAAAACATCCTTATATATCTGGGTTTCCAGATGGGGACCTCAGAGGAAGAGAGTATTGGTGAAAAAAAATACAAAGGACCAAAATAATTATTTTAAGCAGCAATCTGCACAGAACAAATAGAATATCAAAAGCACAAGGAAAAGTTCAAAATTATTTTAAACAAGGGAAGATATGGGAAAACATTGTCCTGGTTGTTCCCAAATCAGTGCCATCAAACTCCATGGGCAACTGAGGTAGCTCAGCTTCACTTCACTAGAAGATAACGAAAGCACAATGTCAGTTTCTTCAGTAAGAATGAATAAATTTACCTCACCAGACTTTGGAAAATTCTAATTTGGAAAACTACTTCGAGGGGTGAAACATTAGGCTACTTATGTCAAATGTTAAAAATTTCTCCAGTATTCTCTAGACTATAGTGCTATATTTTTTCTAAAAGTGTATCCAATTTCTAAATCCCACCTCTTAAAGAAACCTTTGAACCTTCATTTCTGATAGTTGAATTTCTAATTTATGTTTTCATACCTGTACACAGTAATCTATCACTGCCTATACTGGGCTGAATAGAGTCCCTCAAAATTTCATACCCAGCTCTACCATTATAATGAGATCTACTTGGAAATAGGGTCTTTAAAGATATAATTAGTTAAATAAGATCATACTAGAATCAGCCGTGGGCAAACTACGGCCCGCGGGCCGGATCCGGCCCGTTTGAAATGAATAAAACCAAAAAAAAAAAGACCTTACCCTTTTATGTAATGATGTTTACTTTGAATTTATATTAGTTCACACAAACACTCCATCCATGTTTTTGTTCCGGCCCTCCGGTCCAGTTTAAGAACCCACTGTGGCCCTCGAGTAAAAAAGTTTGCCCACCCCTGTACTAGATTATAGTGGTCCCTAAATCCAATGGCTGCTATCCTTAAAGAAGGGCAAATACACACAAAGAAGGTCATGTGAATGAATATGGAAGCAAAGATTGGAGTGATGCAGCTACAAGCCAAGGAATGCTGAGGATTGCTGGAAACCACCTGAGGCTGGACAAAACAAGGAAGAATTCTTCCCTAGAGCTTTCACAGGGAGCATGGCTTCGAGATACCTTGATTTTAAGCTTCTGGCCTCCAGAAACATGAGAGAATAAATTCCTTGTTTTTATGTCATCTAGTTTGTGGTACTTAGCTTTAGCAGCCCTACGAAGTAATACACTGTCTAATTCAGCTAGTTTAAAATTCATCTTGACTATAACCAAGCTACTTTTGGGGGAAATAATGGGTTGAAATCAACCAGAGCTTCACTTGGTATTTATTGTGCTAAATACACATAACAAAATTTACCATTTAAAGATATATAATCCAGTGGCATTAAGTATTACATTCAAAATGTTGCTTGCACCCATTTTTAATCGAAGCAGTTTTAGTTGTGGCCATAAACCAAACAGGAAAGAGATAGAGTGAAATGAGCCTTAGAGAAAGAATAATCCATCACCAAATTCGTTCTTGCTCATATCCAGTGCTAATGAGGAGAGTTTGACCACAGAAAAACAAGTAAGCTTTTGCCTTACTTATATTGAAATTGTGATTAACCACAGAAAACTAAAGTACCAGAAGGCTAACTGTAAATATACCATTACTGGGAAAAACTCATACTTCAATAATTCATTTCTACTGATAAAGTTTCATCTTCATAATGAAATCACTATGAAAGCCAGATGTTTACCTTTTATGTTAACTGAGTTAATGCAAACTCCTGTAGTTTTCATTATTAAAACCTTAAGAACTGAGAGGATAAATCCCTGGGTGCTTCCAATTCTTTACATATAAACTCTAACTCTTTTACTGTGGTTCTCCCTTCCACCATGTCCCTGAGACGTGTCAGTATTTAGAAATGCTACTCTCTTCCTACATTCCAGAAAATTTTCCTTGTTATAAAACCTGATTCAGGATGGATTTTGAAGAAATGTTGCATTGTAACAGGAGTAAAAAAGCATGTGCATACTGCCATGTTCATTCAATAACCAGCAAAGAAAAAAAATGTGATGGTAAGATCACTGGGTTTTTTCCTGTGTAAATTTTGTAATAGCTTGCTAAACTCGGCAGAGATAAATTCATTTGAGGAAAATTGTTGGGAGACAAGCATCTATTATAATTGCCCATTTTAGTTCTAATATCACTTTTTATTTCAGCAATTTTAGTAGTTTTAGCAAACAATCCTCCATATACTTTATAAGGCTGAATTCATATTCAACTTTCCCAATTACATCTTAAAGAAGTTTGTCATTAACTATGACAGATAGCCCCTTGTTTTGTTATTTGTGAAACAAGTGTCAGTTTCTTCCATGAATAATTATAGCATTTCTAAGTTGAAAGGGTGCTTCAGTCTATCACTTTACTTAAAGGGTGCTTATTTAGTCTACCACCTCATTTAAAAGACGAAGAAAAAGGCCCAAACTTGTTTAAGATTACAGAACCTATTAGTGGTTTAGAATTTAACTAAAAATTCAAGACATTTAATCATTTAAAACTTGAGGAAACTGTAGAGAATAAAGATAGGTTAGGGAGGTAACAATGTAACCAACTATTTGGTCTTCATCTTTAGAGATAAAGAAAACTTCTCTTGGACATACTTTCCCATAAAATTGTATATATTCCATTTGAAACTACTTAATCCGTTGGCCACCAGGCTCTACCGAGATAATTATGGGAAACTAGAGGCCGGATGCATGAAATCCATGCAAGAGTAGGCCTTCCTTCCCCTGGCTGTTGCCTCTGGCACCCGGGACCCAGGCTTCCCTCAGACCCCGCTTTGTCCAGAAGGTCGTCAGGAAGGACATCTGGTCTAATTAGCATATTATGATTTTATTATTTCAGATGGGTTCACCATTCTGGCTTTGATTTTTAACCCACTGTCAAAAAAATACTAGCAATACACACACTCAAAATTTTTTTTACAAGTTTATTTTATCCCACCTCAATTCCATCCATCATCTCCTTTGTACTCCATTATTTAACGTGAAATACATAACAATGTGACTCAGAGGATAAGTCTATGTTCCAATTGGAACAATAAACTCATAGCCATCAAACTGACAGATTTTAATTGTGTACAAACGGTGATTATACATTTTGGACACTTTGCTTTTCATTTCTAAGCTTCTCAGGTTTTACCGCGGCTGAGAACCAAAGTAAAAATATATACATATGTGTGTAAGTAACTTTTAAATGCAGCCGTTGAAAGGGCTAAAAGGATAGTAAGAGCTGATATGAAATAGCAGCAGTTGATTAATAATAACACATTGTATGAAAACACACCTGGGGAAAAAAGTAACAAAAGCTCTTTTCATGGTCATCTCCCACAAATACTAAAATGAAACTCAGTTGCCATGGCCTGGGTTCTATTTCCACTTTTCTGGCAGGGTTCGGGTGGGAGGAACACCTTCGCACCAAGACTGGTGCTTTTCATTTGAAAGCAGAGGCCGTGGCGAAGAAGCCACAAAACCAAGGGCTGGCAGCAGGAGGAAGAGCAGCCAGGTATCTGCACTCGCGTGGCTCCGCTGCAGATTCCCGAGTTCAGGAAGGTCGCCCCGTGGACACACTTGGACCCGGGTCCTGGAGCACCGCCGCGGGAGGAGGAAGCCAGGGGGAAGACGAGGCAGGACAGACCTCCTCCTCCAAGGCCCACGGCACCATCTCCGTCCTAGTGGCCGCCGTTCTGCCACCCACGCAGCTTCCTACGCTACCTCCAGGTCCCCTGGCGCCTTCCCGGGGTCGGCCGGCAGTTCCTGGGGGTTGCGAGGAGCGGCCCCAGGCGCTAACTCCTTCCCAAACCCGCGCAGGAGAGCGCTCCGCAGCCCAGCCAAGCCGGCCAGAGGCCCCGCCAGCGCGGCTCGGCAGGGGATTGCTTCTGTCTGGCGCTCGCGGAGGCGGCGTTCGGGTCTCGCGCGCACCGCGCCGCCTGCTCCCAGCCAATCCGGCGCTACTCGCGTGTCCCGAGCGTCCCCCGGGCAGGGCCGGTCCGGCCGGCTCCCCCTCCTCCCCTCACTCTCCACGAGTTCCACGCCTCGCGGTGTAGCTCCGCCCCGGCCCCGAGTCCGCCCCCGCAAGCTCCGAGCGCGTGCTCTCCGTTCCCTTCAGTCTCTAGCTATCCAGCCGCCCGGGCTCTCGCGCTCGGCAGAGCGGCCTCGGACTCTCCGCCCGGACCGACACCTCCGCGCACTCCCCCTCCGGCGGCCACAGCGTGTGCCCCTCGCGCTCGCCGCCTCGCACCGGCCTCGGGGTCGCGCGCCCGGACTCCGCCCCGTCCCGCGGCCTCGCGCGCTGCCGGCGCGGCCTCTCACAGGCGCAAGCGGACCGGTCGCGGCCGCCTCCCCCCCACTCCTTCCCTCGCGCTCACCTCGCGCTCGCGGTCTCGCGCGGTCCCCGGCGGGCGCGCTCCCGGCCGCGCGCTCCGAGCTCCCGCTTCTCCCGGCTCCTGTCAGTGCGGTGACTGCGCTGGGAAACATGGCGACCGAGGGGATGATCCTCACGAACCACGACCATCAAATCCGCGTCGGAGTCCTCACAGGTAACCGGGAGGAGAACGGGATCGCCGCCGCCGCCGCCCCCGACGTGCCTCGGGCTTCTTGCCGGCGGTGACCCTGCTCTGCGGCCTCGGGAGGAGGGCAGGCTGAGGAGGGGGACAGGAAAGGGGGGCGTTTTACCACCGCGGAGCTGCTGGAGGCTGGGGTGTTCCCGTGCTCCCACCCCTCCCGGGAGCAAGTGCCGGTCCCGTGGGAGGTCCGGCCCCGGCACCTTCGCAGCCCAAGTCCCTGGCCCTCGGGGACCGAGGGGCCGGTGCGGCGGGCGCTGCGGGGCTCCTGGCTGCCGGTGCGGGCGCGGGATGCCGGCTCCGCAGTCCGGAGCTCGCCGCTCCCGCCGGCCCGCGCACTTCCTCCGCCAGCGCCCGTCCGGGAGGGGAATCCCGAACCCACCCCCTCGCGGCCCCCTCCCCCACTCGAGTGGCCCGGAGCCGCTCGTGCCGTGCTCGCCGGGGGCACGGGCCGGGCACGACTTGGGTGTTCAAGAGGCGGAACTCTGCCCCTCGAGAGCCGGGCATCCCCTCCGCCACCATGGGACACCCCTAGTCTCCCCCGGGAGGTGGGGGGTCGGCTTGCACCCGGACCTCGGAAAGTGTCCGTATTCCGCCTTCCTGAGCCGAGGGCCCTCTGCCCGCCCCTTGGTTTCCTTAGAGTAAAAGGTGTAGAGGGACCGGCTGGACCTGCGGCCGGGGATCCAGCCCCCTTCACTGGAGAGAGGATTCCTCCACTTGGGCTCCTCGGTCCTCCTCCCTTCTGGGACCCCCCCCCCCCCCCCATGGTCCCGAAGCTGGTGAGGAGCACACTTCTCCCGGGTCGCGCTTCCCTCCCTCGCAGAAACCGTGTGTGCCCCGCACGTCTGACTCCGTTGCGCTGTATTTGGGTGATCTCCCTCCGTTGCTGCAGGGCACGACTCCCGAGATGAAGAGCCAGCCAATTTGTAGGGGTTTCTGCTGTGGCTCTGTAGTTGGCCAGGCTTCTGTGCAATTGCGTGGCCAGGCGGGGGTTAAAGAACTATATTTAGAATCTGAGGGCTTAGTCGGGAGTGAAGGAAATCCAAGATTTACTGTTGTGATTTCGGAAAAAGGAGTGATGTAGACAGGAATCCTCGTGTGTGTTTCTCCCCCGCCCCCCCCCCCAACTCCCCGATTCTTTTTAATTTTTTTTCCTTGTCAAATATTGACAGGTTGAGACGGTGCTCGAGGAGGGACTAAATTGAATGAGACTTGCTTTTATTATTAGGTTTAACAAAAATCCTCTCTCGGTAGATACTGAGTGCAAAGCTTAATTGAACTGCTGAGTTTTATGACAAGGAGATATCCACGACACTCTACATTCTTTTACGCAAATGGGTTGCCTTTTCCTGGTTTTCTTTCTAGTTGTTAATGGCGATTTACTGAATTTTCCTAATAGCCTCTTGGGTGGAGAAACTGGTCTAAACCTATTGCTGGGAAGGGAATCCCCCCAAATCAGAAGATGAGCTGTCCTCCCTTTTTGGTGCTGAAACTTGCCATATGCAAAGATACAGTTATAGCTCAGAATTGTTAGAGTTCACATTGCTGATTTTCAAAGAATCTAATCACGGCGTGTAAAGGTGTATACTCTATATCAACTTGCACTTTAAATTCTAGCCATGTTTTGAAAATTAGTAGAGTAGTAAGAGTGAAGCTTAATAAATTCCAAAGTATGTCAACTGACCATGGAAATGAAAGGTCATAGATGTTTTAAAGTTAAGTCATAGAGATTTTTTAAAAAATTGTTTATTTAAGCTTTCCCTAATAGTTTTACTTATCAAATCTTCTTACTTGGGTCAAGTGACATAGTTGTACAGAATACTTTGAAAGATTTGGCCCTTATCCATATCCCTACAGTACAATAGGAATAAGATTGATATGCAAACCACTAACAATATATGTAATTATTTTGCTAAAATTGTCTAAATAAATTACCTGTGCATATGAGGGCTAAATGTAAAAGGAATCCCATATTCAGATGGATTAGGAGCAAATGTGATTACCTGTAGGCAGAATTTAATACATTTACCAGAGGTTAAGTAGAAACTGACATTTTAAAGGGTAGTTGAAACTCAGTGGCAACCTTATAAATGAAAATGTTGCCCTGGCCAGGTATCTCAGTTGGTTAGAGCATGGTCCCCATATACCAAGGTTGGGGGTTTGATCTCCCATCAGGGCACATACAGGACTCAACCAATGAAAGAATAAATAAGTGGAACGATCTCTCTGTCTCCCCCCCCCCTCCCTCATTCTTCTCTTTCTCTCTAAAATACAAACCAAATAAATAAGAAAATGTTGGTTGGTGAGGATGAGGCTCTTGAGCAGAATATGAGAAGCCTAGGTAGAATAGGTATGGGGCATAGGCAGAATGTCAAGGAGAGAAGAGAACTTTGCAGTGGGATTAAAGAGAATCTGGAGACACTGTTTCATGTAGTTTAGGGGAAAAGTAGGGTCAGGAATAAGGATGTAGCTGAAGGAAAGAAGTAGAAGTTTCAGATTTGGGAGAAGTGGTAACAGGGTAATAATGGATTTTTGAAGTCAGAAATAACTCTGAGGTTTTTACTTGAAAAGTTATTAATATGAATATTGTCTACTATGATGGAGCCTGGAAACATGGAGAAGAAACAGATGAAAGGGCACCAGCCTTCAGTCTGCAAGTAGTGGATTTTATTACAAACAAACAGCTTAATATTTATGTTCTTGATATTCCATGTTATATTGTGCAAAAAAAAAAGCTATGTTGTGCAATTTTTGTGTCTTGTAGAACTTCAAATGTTGCAGTTTTACTGTGTGAAATTACTCTTTACTGGACTTAAGCACTATGATTTTATACTTAAGAACATTGAGTTAAGATACCATACTTAAAACTGATTTTATGAGTTTTAATTTGCAGCTCTCTTTAAAGGTGAAGGACTTATTTTATAAAATATCCTCTGCATGCTTCATAATAGGGATTTTATGTATTCTCGGTGGCAACGTTATAAATGAAAATGTTGCCCTGGTCGGGTAGCTCAGTTGGTAGAGCATTGTCCCCATGGCCCCCATGGTCTAAATCTGTTTTACAGCGGTTGTAGAAAGTATTGTCTACCCAAGCACACATGTGGTAGTATTGTTGTGAAACTGTATTGTAATTTCTAAATTTTTAATTTTTGTGTGACATTTTAAATTTTCTATTGCAGGATAATATTTGTACCATGAAACTTTTCATCTTCTAGATGTTTTTGTAATCTTCAGCTCAGCTATGAATTTGACAACTATAGTATACAATCTATTGAAATGTCTCATCAAATGAATTAACTATTAGAATTTTAAAAATATAGTGGTGGGAAGGAAAATATTTAGTAAAGGCATTTCTTTTTTACTTGATATTTTGAATTATTTAGGGTTTGGAAATCAGATTATAATAATATAAATGGATATTTTAGCTATATTAATTAATTTTTATCAGAAAAATTGGGAACATTTCTGTATATAAAATAGGTTATCGTGGAAACATTTTAAGTTGAACATTATTGACCATCTCTAGGAACAATATCGTTGTCAATAACTATCTTATGATGATTTGCTATAAATAAAGTATTATAGGTCTTTGGTGACATAAGACCTAGTTTTCAATATATCTGTTTCTAATGTTCTCTACTTCTATTGTTTATAACAGAGATAAAAGATTATAGGATGGATGAATAGCATGAGGAAAACAAACAAGTATCTGCTTTTTTGAAACTGAAAGAAGATGTGGGGCAGATGTAGGATTTTTTTTTTGATAGCTATAGTAATTATACTAGTACTTACAGTGAGTCTTAATAATTACATACAAGGGTAACTATATTTTAAATGTGTCACTTTTCACCTAATTTTTTCTATTTCTAATGAAGCTGTTTATCAAGGGAGCACACTAGTTCTGCTACAAAAGTTTCTCTGCAATATCAGGAAAATAATGAATATGTGTGTAGTTAATATAGAATGAGACAGATTATGTTCCATTGGGTATTTAATATCGTATTAGCTAGCCACTGCTAATGTTTGCTATCAAAGCACTTAGCTAAAGATGATAATTCAGTACCTGAATTTTCACTGACAGTGGCGTGAATGAGAAGTGATGCAAATATTTAGCAAAGGGCATTTTAAAAACGAATACTTTTTCTCTAGTAACATACATTTTTATTGGGCTAAGCTGTAGATTTATAATCAGTAAGAGTTATTAGAACAAGATCTGACTAGACAATAGAGATAAGAGACTAATTGTAAACTAGAACACCTAAAATATTAGTTCCATGTAGGGAGTATTTCAGCCACTCAAAATATTAAAAAACCAAATTCTAAGTCAAGGAGATGATAATCATGTAACTCTGGACTTGTTCAAGCATTTATTTTATTGTGTTCTTTAAGCTTATACCTGTGCATTATAACTATCTATGTTGTATTTTGAAAAACCCATTTATTGATGAGGATATCTAAATATATCTTTGTTTTTAAGTAGCCAAATTACTATTGCAAACAAAATCTAAATCCTACCAAATGGAATTGTGTATTCTGGCAGACATATCAACATTGATCTATATGACTTTTGTTAAAAGGAAGCCTATTTCTTAAACTAGGTTGTTCTTTCATGAATTTTGGGTTGGAAGCAATATATTAGAGAATTAAAATTTTAGTTAAAGTAGAAAATCATTAAATCAACACTATCATCATTGGCCAAAGACTATAAACTACTAGAGGCCTGATGCACGAAATTCGTGCAAGAGTTGGCCTTCCTTTCCCCAGCTGCCAGCACTGGCTTCCCTCTGGCACCCCGGACCAGGCTTCCCTCTCAGCCCCGGCTTTGTCTGGAAGGTTGTCCAGAAGGATGTCTGGTCTAATTAGCATATTACGCTTTTATTATTATAGATGGGTACATAGATTGTTACACATTAAGAGCTTTAACTATATTAAAAATATATTTGACTTTCACTTTAACTGAGATATATGGTGGAGAATCAGCAATATGTTATTGAGGAGGAAATGACTATGAGTCCATTTTTACTCTTATAGATGATAGATACGTTGGTAAGTTGAATTGGATGCTTTTTTTGAAACTGAGTAAAACAGGTAAAATCTATGCTTTGCTCCTGGAAATAGGATTGAAGAACAACATAACATATTTGGGATTTGAGATGTTAAAACAATACTAAAAAGAAAATAATGAAACCACAGGGATTTCTTTTTTCACATCTGGGAAGAGAAGATAAATTAGGACGAAGAAAAGATTATTTAAACTGCTTAAAAGTAATTGAGACTATAGTTAATATGAATAGCATGCAATTCTTACTTAATTTTTGAATGACCTCCCAAAAAGCAAATACCTAAGTAT